GAACAATGCTGCCACCTTTCTGATGAAAGTGTTACTGAATAACCACAATGTCAGAGTCTCTGAATATCTTCTTTGCTTCTGTCGGCCAACCATCAAGATTTATGGCCCAGCAGACAAACTCTACCTTAGCTTTCCTCTCGAATGCTACGTTGGATTTCATAGCAGCGCTTGGGTTTGGCACAATAATGGCTTACTGCTCAAAATTACAGACAAAATTGAGCTCTTCCTTCAGCGAAGGGAAATGAGCTCTATGCTCAAGGGAAGTGGAGATGTAAGGCTGTTCCACACAGTGGCATGATGGGAAAACTTAAACATTGGCGTGTTGTGAACAGCACACATTAGCGCTCTGATGCAGCACAGATGTGAGGTTTGTGGCTGTGTGTGTTGGCTGTTCAGCGAGCGAGTGTGTGTATGTGTGAGTGTGTGTGTGTGATTGAGCTGTTCTGATAGGAATCATACCGTATGTTCCCTGTGGACGTGTTTGGCTCATTGAGGTTCTTCAACAGGACATGGGCGGCCATGAGATTACATAACCCTTTTAAATGCTTTCTATACTCATGCATCTGAGGTCAAGATCTGAAATGTTGTCACTGGGCTTTTAAAGAGGATTACAGACACGTTTAACTTGTTAAAGCTCACAGGCAACTAAAGGCTGTTAATGTTTTTGGGTGACAATAGATGTTTTTATTAACATGCACATAGTAAGAGTTTTTAATAACCTGCCCAAAGTGTGCTGTGGTGGTGTTTAGTCCAAAGAAAATACCTGGCTGTTATAGTAAATGATAGGTAAAACTCTATTGTCTTTTCTTCGGATGTTCTATAGAGATAAAATTGCCATATTTGTACAATTTATATGTGAAAACATTTAAATATGAATGTAAATGCTACCTGGTTACAGTGATGTAAATGAAAAAAAAACACTTAAAGGATTGCTTTTGAAAATTCTAAATTGCAATGAACTACACATGCGGATGGAAAATTGCAAATAATTAAGAAATCTGGGCAATAATTGGTTGATTTCCTCATGCTAGAAAGGATCTGAACAATGACTTTGATCAATGCTGCCATTTCAAGGTGTTTAGTAAAAAATATAGGTAAAAGCCCTTAGTCTTTCTATAGAGATATGTCAGATTTAAATCATCTAAATGATAGAAATGCACTTAAAAGTTACATTATGAGTTGCACAGTGCATTCATATGACAAATAAACCTGTACATTAATGGGTTAATTTCCTAAAATGAAAAAGGGTCTGAACAATGACTTTGATAAATAGTTTGACGAGCCATTGGCATGAAAACAGAACATGCCAGGCAGAACTTAAAGAGCCATCGCTGGTTCCTGTTTGCTCTGTGTTTGTGCATGCATGAAAACACAAAAGCGTTTGTCCTCGAATCTCCCAACATACCTTACAATCCTTCCTCATTCACAGAAAATGAACATCATGACCTTCACAACTATTTAATATTTACACTCTTAAAAATGGGGGTTTGCCATAGAAGAACCATTTTTGTTCCAAAAAGAACCTTTCCGTGAACTGTTCTTAAAGGAAGAACCATTTTTGTTTCTAAAGAACAATTTCCACTAAAAAGAACGTTTTATAGAATGGAAAGGTTCCACACTCTTAAAAATAAAGGTTCCTAAAGAGGTCAGTTCTTAAAAGAACCATTTTTGTTTCCTAGTGTCAAAATATTGTAAATAAATAACTTTTTTCACTATAAAGAACCTTTACTGGCTCCATGGATGTTAAAGGTTCTTCAAGGAACCACAGATGCCAATGAAGAACCTTTATTTTTAGTGTATGTAAAGTGCTTGATGTCTGAACTCTAAGTTCTGCTTGAGACGCGTCACCATGTGCCTCAGAGTCTGTCTGAATGTGCATGTGTCACGGCTGCCTGTGTCATGTCAAGATTACAGCCTTGCTATTTACAGGCAATGCAGTTAACGTCAAAGTTCAGGGCATTTGTCATGCAGCTCATGACATTTGAGTTTAATAGACTTACACAACCCAAACAAGACAAAGTGTGTACGCTAATTTGTACTAGAGTTTAAATGGGGATATTCTAGCATAGCATGTGTATTGTGCAATTGCATTATTAATACGTAATTGTTGTCATTAGGGCAAATTATACAGGGTACAAGTTGTTTTTGCAGGTATGTGCCTTGAAGACAACGGCTGCAGCTATTTTTGTGCTATTGAGTCAGATCATCTGGTTTTGATTGTGGAGGGTTATGTGATCCAGTTTGTCTGCAAAGCTGTGATAATTCTTATTGAGGGCAATCACTGAGGGCAATCATGGGTCTGGTGCTTTCGTTTGCCCTGCTAAAATGTGTCACGTTGCCAGAAGACATTTTTCCACTTTGGGCTTTTATGAACTCACCTGTTTCTGGAGAGCAAACGTGAGGTCCAGTGACGGTTCTTATAGCGAACAAACAGCATTAAAAGTTTGATCTAGATTGGTCCAGATTGAGGTTCCTTCCATCCGCCAAAAGCAGACTGGCACTGCTTGTCTCAGTTCATATCAGCGATCATGCGAGAGCTGGCAGTATTATTTGTGCGTGCGAGGTTGTGTCGGTGTGCCAGAGCTCGACATCATTAGATTTCTCTTGTTTGTCCACATACTTGCAGTGCATGACAGTTGCTGGCACTGGACACAGAAGCGCAGGTTGTGTGACCTAAACAAAAGCAGATGTATGCAGATAGCTGATGCATGATCTCAGCGCTTCGAACCCGCAGCCATCAGTCAGTCAATTATGCAGCTGGTTGATTGCTTGCGATGATAAATGGAAGAACGAATGGACAATCAAATTAACTTTGACAAGTACAAGAACTGTTGCATGTCCACACGTTAACCAGTGTTCGTGTTGCGGGAAATGTGTTTCAACAATATCTCGCAAGCAAGAATGCTATTTTTCTGTAATTGTGAGTGATATTGCTGTTATACAGTTCAGTAAACATCACTGAGTAACTTACATTTTTAGACACAATATTCCCATTTACTTTTATGTTTATTTTTCCTCCGCCAATGAAAATAGTTCCAGATGAGGCGAAAATACAATCAACACACACAATCATTGAATGAATTGCTTGAGTGAGTGATTCAATGACTCTCTCATAAAGACAGTTACTTGATTTGTTCCTGAATAATTGAGTGTTTTGAACAAATCGCTTTGGTGAATGACTCATTAATTCACTCATAAAGATGATTACTTGTTTCTTAATTAATCAGTGCTTTAGAATTGAATGATTCAATGACTTACTCATAAAGAAACTTAAGGCCTGTTTACATCAAGGACGATAACGATATAGCTCTAAAAATTGTTCTCAATATTAAAGAATAGCAGAGTCCACACCACAGCTGTAATGATAAAGGTACAAAGTAACAACATCGTTGGAATCAGTGTTTTGAACAAATCGCTTGAGTGAATAATTCAATGATTGCTTATAAAGACAATCACTTGTTTCGTTCCTGAATGAATCAGTGTTTTGAACAAATCACTTGAGTGAATGATTCAGAGACTTGCTCATAAAGACAGTTATGCCTTGTCCAAATACCCACATTTGCAGTCTTTGCACTTGACCAGTTGACTACGTATATGACGTATTTCCTGTATTTGGCCCAAGTGTTCAAGTGAGGATGAAGACCACAAGTGTGTGTCAAACTTTTCATTACCTGATGGGACCAGCCCGATCTCACGGCAATTCATACATATTTTACGAGGTGGCTAATTCGTACGAATTTGTGCAACCTCACTCGTACAAATTCATACGATTTGTGCTAAACCGTACGTATTTTACGAGTTACACAATTCATATGAATTCGTATAAATTACCTACACCTAACCTCGCCCCTAAACCTACCCATCACTGGGGTCTAGAAAAATCGTACAAAATCGTACGAGTGAGGTCGTACGAATTTGTACGAATTAGCCACCTCGTAAAATACATACGAATTGGGCGTGAGATAGTGTTGGATGGGACACACTAATAGTGTTGTAAAAATGCAAGTGTTTACAGAGATTTATTTGATTTCATGACACAATTTAATTTGTGGTGCTTAAGTGATAAAAATAAGTTGCAATCGTTGTACAAAATAAATATCACCACCACTCATCTAAAACGTGCAACACTTTGTTTTTCCGCGAATAGCGCTCTAGAGTGTGGATTTTGTGAGTGAGTGATTCAACAACTCTTTCCTAAATGAATCAATGTTTTGAACAAATCAGTTCGTAGAAAGAGCGACTGAAACATTCTCAACACTAATGCTTCTACTAACATCTGTCTGGAGCGTGCAAACTCATTCAGAGTGATACAAACAACCGAATGTCCCATTGCTGTTGAACTAAATGTCTGGTCAAACGAAATTTATAAAGACGCAAAGCCATTTTTTTTCCACTTATTCTTCTTAGTCTTACATACAGTAGATTATACACAGACGTAATACATGGACACTCGTGCAGTGGCAGGGTAGATTGCTGTGATGAGAGACACACCACCCAAAACAAAGACAAAAATGAAGCAACAGACCCACAAATATTTCTTAAAACAGGATGTAGGTCTATGATAAACACAGCTCCTGGCTTTAAACAAATCTTCCTTCAGTGTGTGGTCCTCCTGAAGTCTGAGAGGAGGGAGGCGCTCATAAACGTAAGAGGTGGCCCGTTAAAGTGTGTGTGTGTGTGTGTGTGTGTGTGTGTGTGTGTTTACCTGTCATCCCGCGCGCGGTCACTCAGGCCTGTGTCCGCTCGCTGCTGGTGGTCCTCGCGCTCCAGAGACGACACGAGGGCCGTTAGTGAAAGTGTGTGTGTGTGTGTGTGTGTGTGTGTGTGTGTGTGTGTGTGTGTGTGTGTGTGTGTGTGTGTGTGTGTGTGTGTGTGTGTGTGTGTGCAGCATCTGCCCGTCCGTACGGGATGATGTGTTCCTTCTCCGGACACAGATTTCTGTCTGATTTGTCCAGCTTCACTCATGATGAGTCATTATCTGTTTCCTCCTCCACCCACAGTCCTGCAGCTGAGACTCCAGCAGAGGAGGACGCGAGAGCAGCTCGCTGACCAGGGCATCATGCCTCGTGAGTAACACCAGCACTCCTCTGACTACATCACACTGCATTATGGGTACCTGACAAATGAGCGAACCGCTTTCATGGCACCGTAAGATCTGCACTACAGTCACACACTCACACCTGTTAACATTTACATAGAAGAGCCCCATTCACACAGCTGGATCTGGCACACATGCACACCGGGCACAGAACGCTCTCAGAGTTTATCTGCCCATGAGAGGAACGATAATAAACAGATGATCAGGCAAAGCAGCTTCGCTTTATAACCTGAAAATGAGATCGAGGACATTCTGCATGCTTCAGTTTCAAGTTTTTTTGTTTGTTTGTTTTTAAGCGATAACATACAAGTGTGACCATAGTAAAATGAATAAATAAATAAAAATGTACTTTTTGTATTGATGTTCAGTTCATATGGTTTTCAGCAAATTCGATACCATTTTTAATTTTTTCGTTCATATTTTTTTAAGTATTTGTTTGTTTGGGTTTTATTTATTTATGCATGCATGCATGCATTTATGCTTTTTACAGCCTGAACAACATTTGTTTTACATTAAAAGGTGCTTGACTCCATGACATAATTTCCTGTGTGTTTTATTTTTATTTTTATGGAAAACTACTTACTTTTTAGGAATTTAATTATTTAATCGTCCTCTTTCATCATCATGATTTCAAAATATAGAAATTAATTTAATTCAGACATCACAGAAGAGCGGCTTTCAGGTCAATTTATGTATGAAGTGCATTTATGAATTCTTTTTGAATAAAGGACCATTGAGCATATATTTTTAAAGATGATTCATAGCTAAACACACAAAGATATTAAAGAAAACAGCTTCTAAAATATACCGCAGCCTTACCGGTGTACCGTTTTCATAGATATACCAGTATCTCTATTCAAATACAGTCATAACTGTATATTTTGCTTGCCATTAGGTGTTTGAATTGAACTGTTGACCGGTCTGTTGATGTAATTCAGCCGCTGGAGTCTGGGTTTCAGCAGGTCTGCTGGAGATAAACCACAGATCTGTGACTGAGTCTGAGCTCCTAAAAAAAACTTTCAATGGCTGTTTATCTTTTTACAGCAGACAACAGGTCGGCAAACTCAGATAAACCGCTTTTAAATAGGTGCTGATCTACATGCATGCAGTTATAGAAAAAGTGTTTCGAAAATGCATGTTTTCTTTGCTTTTTACTGCCTGCTCGTGTCATGTTTTATTCCGTGTGACTTATGACAATTGTTCTAGTGTTTGTTTTATTAACGTATGGCAGTATTTCGTGAGGAGTACGTCCAGCAGAAAGCAGAAGATCTAATGCTAAGAGCTAGAGCTCTCTCATAAATCAGAATGCACCTTACATTTCAAAGGCTGGAATTATGCAATTGGTTGCATTCTTCAGAGGAGGCGATATTTCAATCTCCGCTGTGGTTTTGCACGTATGCAGTGTGTGTACATTTCTCTGAGCACATCTGCTCTTCATTAGACGGTCAGGCGTGTGTCTGAGGAGCCGCCGCTCCTTTTTCTTCTTTGACTTCTGTAGTAATGTAATGATACTGTATGTGTGTGCAACCTTTTCAAGAACCATTGAAACAAAAAGTAATCGATTTTAGACTGACAGAGACAGAAAGTAAAGCCTATGAGCTCAAAAAGCGAAAGAAGTCATTTTAAAGACAAAAACAGCATTTTAAATTAAATATGCATTAAATAATATATATTGTAATGCATGTAGATAAAATATTATTCAGTGCATACATGCCATGGTCTGCATTCAACAATTTAAATCATGGAATTATTAATATTTTTTGTTTGTTTGTTTGTTTAGACCAGGGGTGCCCAAACTCGGTTCTGGTGGGCCGGTGTCCTGCAGAGTTTAGCTCCAACTTGCCTCAACACACCTGCTACAAAGTTTCTAGTATGCCTATAAGAGCTTGATTAGCTGGTTCAGGTGTGTTTAATTGGGGTTGGAGCTAAACTCTGCAGGACACCGGCCCTCCAGGACCGAGCTTGGGCACCCCTTGTTTAGACAGAATTTTCTTTTTCGGGTGAACTACGCCTTTAGGTTACATTTACTTGAGTTTGCAAAATTGCACAATATATTAAGAATTGTTTTCAGAGAATATGTCAGATTAAATTTAAATAGAATGGATGGTATGTTTCACCCCTTGTTTAGACAGAATTTTCTTTTTCGGGTGAACTACGCCTTTAGGTTACATTTACTTGAGATGCAAAATTGCACAATATATTAAGAATTGTTTTCAGAGAATATGTCAGATTAAATTTAAATAGAATGGATGGTATGTTTCATTTCTTATTGCCTTTAAAAAATACATTTTAAAAACAAAGAAACCTAAATCCAATAAAAATACATTTATGCTTAAAAAATTCCCAAGAGTCTTTAGTTAATGAATTTAATTCTATCAAATGAAAATATAATAATTGAATATTAATTAAAATAAAAAAATAATATTAATATTAAATATTAGATTGATATAAAGATGATAAAGATTTAATGTAAAAAAAAAAAAAATCAGATTTTTTTTTGCAGTGGATGTCTGACACAGAACAGATTAATGTGATGAATAGCATGCAGAAAGAGTGATGGATTGCGAAATGTTTTGTAAAAATGATATTTTGCATATGTGTCTTGTATACCTTTTTGTGTGCTTTTATTTTGAAATGGTTAAGATGTTCTTGTGTTGTCTGGATCATTTGTAGTCGGTTAATGTTGTAATCTTTGGTTTGTCTAAGTTTCTTAGTCTTTTTCTTGTTCCATGTGATCTAGATTCTAGTATGCAATGAACGGCTGCAGTGAGATCTTGAGACACACCTGAGCAGAACTTCTGTAGAAAACCCTATAAATGTTTCCAATAACATAACAATAAGTCAGCCGTGTGTTGAATATCAATGTCAGACCTCAGATTACCCAACAGCTGTGCTGATCAACAACAAAATAATCATACATTTCTACCTATTTTGAAGAAAACACGAGTGATGCTCATCTGTGTCAAAACTTATAATGCTAGTGTGTTGTGGTGATATTTTGGAATGTTTGTGATTTAGTTTCACTCAGAATACAACTGCAAGCAGCACTAAAATAAAAGCAGAAACCAGTGCGTCTGTATCAGTCAGACGTTTGATTCAGGACTATAATTCAGCTCTAGCAGAGAAACACGGGCCAGATCAGATGCTGGCAGAGATGATTTATGTAAGATTCATTGACAGTGTGTTCACAGATAAACCATCACATTTACTCCGTTTCTCATTTGTTTTTCCAGCCTTGAAGAGTCCGGCTGCGTTCCACGAACAGAGGAAAAGTCTTGAGCGATCCAAGGTTAGAAGAACCAAACAACGATATAGCAAAGAATCATGCAGCACACACCATCAACAGCTCCCTGCCGCACCAGAAATCATTTTGACTGAGAAATGATTACAAATAGCATCATTTTCTGACATCAATACTAGTTCATTGTCTAGTCTTGCTCAAATCAAGTCATTTATTTGGACTTTATAAACTACAGATCAAAGCAGGATAACAGAAACAATAATGAAAAAATTAAACTATATTTAATTTCAGATGTAAAGCAGCTTTACAGAAGACAATTGAGTTAATATTCAGATCAATTCAGTTCAAATGAACCCTCTGGTGTTGTTCAGTCATTTTCTTTTTTATTGGAATGGTATGCAACTCAGCCAAGATTTTGGCATTTGCTATGTGAACAAAAAACATTTTCAGGTCTATGCTCAAAAAGTGGCTTACAGGATCATAACTATTCCATAAATATGATTTAGTGCCATTAAATCCCTTAAAAATACAAACAAAGAAAATACAGTAGATAAAAACATTATCATGCTATAAAATAGTACATTACTTTAATACAAATCTGTCATTTCTGACCGCCACGCAGACAACACCAGAGGGTTAGTGTAAACGATGCAAAGTTCATCAGTAATGAAACTAATTTGATTAATAAAAACATTATCATGCTATAAAATAGTACATTACTTTAATACAAATCTGTCAACACCAGAGGGTTAGTGTAAACGATGCAAAGTTCATCAGTAATGAAACTAATTTGATTCAGAATGATTGTGAAAGTGTGCGAAAATCCAACTCATTATATTTAATGTTTTATAATATTTGGCGTTGCAGACTGGAGATTATTTAAAACACAAAATCAGAAGTCGACCAGAGAAATCAGAGCTTGTCAACATGCGTATTCTACAAGGTAAGAGCTTTAAAAAATAGTACACTGAATAAAACACTTATGCCGAAACAATTTTGCCTTTTTTAGTTTTCACAAATAATTACAAAGAAATAACAAGTAAGACACTGAATTGAATAGTATTTTCCTGTAAAACATGCTCCAATAATGTTTGTTTCATTTACGGCTTTAAAACATATTTTTTACCGTGTACATAAACACAGAATGATTCAGAGAACGTTATAACATTAATTTGATTGCATGCTGTGAGCGTATCGTGTTGTCAGCTGCACGGCTTGTGACATGATAACTGCTTATTCTCAGCACTGCATCATGTGTGTGTTTGACTGAAGAGCTGCTGTGCTGGATTAATAGTGTGTTTACTGCAGAACCCGCCGCCGAAGGTCCCGCACACGACTCACAGACCAAACTAAAGCGAGCCAGACTGGCCGACAACCTGAATGAGAGAATCGCTCTCAGACCTGGCCCGCTGGAGCTGGTGGAGAAGAACATCATTCCTGTCCATTCCACTGTTAAAGAAGCAGCTATGAAAGGTATCGGAGCAAAGCACAGTTTTTTTTACACTACAAGTTCTTCCTCCAGTATTTGTGTCTTGTTTTCCAGTACAAACATCTAATCATTCTTAAAGGTAGAGTTCACCCAAAAATTTTTATTCTCTCATTATTTATTAGACAGAATTTTGTGTGTATGTTCCTGTATGAACTTTTTTTCTGTTGAACACAAAAGATGAGATTTTGAAGAATGTGGGTAATAAAACTGTTGATGGTAGCCATTCACCTCTGTAGTTTGAGGGGGGGGGGGATTGGAACCAAACAGTTGACTTTAGCCATTAACTTCCATAGTATGGAAGAAAAAAAAATGATATGGAACCAAACAGTTGACGGTAGCCATTGACTTCCATAATATGGGGGGGAAAAAAAGAAATTCTATGGATCCAAAAAGTTGATGGTAGCCATTGACTTCCATAGTATGGAAGAAAAAAAAAATTATATGGAACCAAACAGTCGACGGTAGCCATTGACTTCCATAATATGGGGGGGGAAAAAAAGAAATTCTATGGATCCAAAAAGTTGATGGTAGCCATTGACTTCCATAGTATGGAAGAAAAAAAAAGAAATTCTATGGATCCAAACAGTTGATGGTAGCCATTGACTTCCATAGTATGGAAGAAGAAAAAAATTATATGGAACCAAACAGTCGACAGTAGCCATTGACTTCCATAATATGGAAAAAAATATGGAACCAAACAGTTGACAGTAGCCATTGACTTCCATAGTATGGAAGAAAAAAAAAGAAATTCTATGGAGCCAAACAGTTGATGGTAGCCATTCACTTCCATAGTATGGAAGAAAAAAACATTTATATGGAACCAAACAGTCGACGGTAACCATTGACTTCCATAGTATGGAAGAAAAAAAAAGAAATGATATGGAACCAAACAGTCGATGGTAGCCATTGACTTCCATAGTATGGAAGAAAAAAAAAAGAAAGTATATGGAACCAAACAGCTGACGGTAGCCATTGACCTCCATAGTATGGGAGAAAAAAATAAATTATATGAAACCAAACAGTCGACGGTAGCCATTGACTTCCATAGTATGGAAGGGGGAAAAAATTTATTATATGGAACCAAACAGTTGACGGTAGCCATTGACTTCCATAGTATGGAAGGGGGGAAAAATGTATTATATGGAACCAAACAGTTGACGGTAGCCATTGACTTCCATAGTATGGAAGGGGGGAAAAATGTATTATATGGAACCAAACAGTTGACGGTAGCCATTGACTTCCATAGTATGGAAGAAAAGAAAAAAAGAAATTATATGGAAGCAAACAGTCGACGGTAGCCATTGACTTCCATAGTATAGAAGAAGAAGAAAAAAGAGAAATTATATGGAAGCAAACAGTCGACGGTAGCCATTGACTTCCATAGTATAGAAGAAGAAGAAAAAAGAGAAATTATATGGAACCAAACAGTCGACGGTAGCCATTGACTTCCATAATATGGGAAAAAAATATGGAACCAAACAGTTGACAGTAGCCATTGACTTCCATAGTATAGAAAAAATATGGAACCAAGCAGTTTTTAACTTCCAAAGTATGGAAAAAATAAAATAAAATAAAATATGGAACCAAACAGTTATTAACTTCCGTAGTATGAAAAAATTATGGAGCCAAACAGTTGACGGTAGCCCATTAACTTCCATTTAATGTGAAAAAAAAATATATGAAGGTCAATGGCTACCGTCAACTGTTTGGTTACCCATATTCTTCAAAATATCGTCTTTTGTGTTCAACAGAAGAAAGAAACTCATACATGTTTGGAACAACATGAGAGAGAATAAATAATGATAACATTTTCATTTTTGGGGTGAAATATGCCTTTAAATCAAGTTACATTTACAGTACTTGTGAAGCAGAATAAGATATGAAGTCTTAATTAAGTACAAATTAAGTGGGTTTTTGCTTAAAAAAAAATCTGTCAGTGGGGTTGGAAAAATAAACTTCATTCTTAAATAATAAAGTTAATATCTAAAAATATAGATATTAAAAATAAGTTTATCTAAAATAAACAATATCACAAAAACTATTGTGTGTGTGTGTGTGTGTAGTTGCATCACTAACTCCTTAATTTCTATCATGACTTTATGTTGCATCTTTTTTCATCTTCTTTGCATGAGTGAATTCCTCGCTAGTGATGTTGAGCGAGATTCCTCACAATCCTCCCAACCTTTTGCTCAACAAACACAGCTTGATTTAGGAGGCCGTGGGCTCTCGCTCACGGGCATTAACTCGCTCTGTGTTTACTATGTCATCCGACCGCAGTATGTTGTGCGCTCAGATCCAGTGTTTTCGGACATGCTGAAAGTAAACATGTCCATGTTTCCCCTGAAGCTGTGGCTGAATGTGTTGCATAAGCCGTGTGAGGCTGGGGACGATGGTTTATATTACCTCTGCTGGAGGAGCAGCGTGTTTTATTGAGACAAACAGCAGCTGTATTTAGATCCACCCTGTTCGCTGGAGATCAAATGAATGTCCCTCTCATTCTCTGTTTTGACTCGATGTGATTTATGCGGCTCCGTCGAACCACCTACAAAGGTGTTTGAGCAGACGTGACCGTCTGAGACGCCCTTCCCAGAATGCTCAGCTCACCATTAGGTCTGCTAGACTTCTGTCATGTCAAATTCAAATATATGATATATGTTGAACAAACACTTCTCTGCAATCTGCTGTGTTGTCACAGTCTCTTCTCAAATGTGCATGAGGTGCATTAGATGCATGCCTTCTGGCATGATGCCACTTTCCATTGGAGTCTTTTTTAAATTGCTTAGCTTACCCACTTAAAGTTGTAGTTGAGGCTCACTCGGTGAAACTATTCACTCATATATCGACTCTGCAAGCAAATTATCTGCTTTACACTCAGTTTGCAATTGTAAAACAAACTTTTTGCAAAATGTTAAACACAGTTCTCTACATAAGGCACATCATTCAAAACAAACAGCTCTAGTGTAGCTCTTGTACTAAAGTAAAAAGTACTGATTGATGAATGTTTATTTATTTTGCTATTTTATATACTCTATCCTTCTGCTAAAAAATATGTCATACACTGATCACTACTGATAATTATTCATAATTCAAGTCTGCAAACAAGTGAAAATAACAAAAAAAATACCATATATATATATATATATATGTAAAAATGAGGGGGGAAAGTGTGTAGGCAAATATAAATATAGCTACAATATAAAAGAAATAAAGAAATAAAGAAATGGCAAAATGGCATTGCACAGACGGGGCATTTTCTTTACAAACACTGTCTCAGATTATCTAAGAGTAAGTGGACAGTGAGGAGCTCACTGGACCTCATCCACACCACAACCATCCAACATCAACATGAGAAGGAAATAACTCACACGTGAGAGAGAGAGAGAGAGAGAGAGAGTATACCTGGTATTCTCTATATGGGGACCAAATGTTCCCACAAGATAGTAATACCAGTACATTTTGACCTTGTGGGGACAATTTTTGGTCCCCATGAGGAAAACAGTTTATAAGGTTGGGGTAAGGTTATAGAAAATACAGTTTGTGCAGTATAAAAACAATTACACCTATGGAATGAACCCGTAGAACATGAAAACATGAAACCTATGTGTGTGTGTGTGTGTGTGTGTGTGTGTGTGTGTGTGCCTGTGTGCCTAACTGAGAGAGTGCTTGTGCTGATTGAAACCAGTCCCTGCACTTCTGCTGCCAGCTCACATGGTCAGATATCACACACACACACACACTTACCTCTGGTGACCCCTCGTGTGACCTGTGCTCTATTAGGCTCCTGTCACTGCATCAAAAGTGTTCGACCCCTGTGCACATGACAAATGGTGAGACACGTTCAGCACTGGCACACGCATCGATGTTCTGGCACGCGCTTAACATACACACACACACACACACACACACACATCAGACACAAACAGACTTCACTGGAACATAGTTCGACTTATGGAAAGGTTTGGAGTTTGCAGAAAGAAGAAATTATTTCTACGTAATTCCATTTATTTAACCCTTAGTTTACTGTATCATGTTTGATATACAGACATTTCTAAGGCTCTAATGAGCAAAATTTGCTGTTAAAGCTGTTGCACACAATCTACTACACCCGTCTGATTCGTCTGATTGATAGTTTATAGTTTTTTTATCAATTAAAAGCTCTTTCAGTGTAATTGTACAAATGTCCACCTTCAGCTCGTGCTTCATGTGAATCAGAATAGAGAATGCTAGAATTAGAGGGTCAAATAAAGATGGAAGTTTTGAGGAGTTGTTTTACTATGAAAGTTTCCTCGGATTAAGAGTGGAATTCTGTTCTGCTTCATTGACTTTTTGAGTTTACACACCTGACCTTTCAGTCTTTACCAACCCCAAGCATTTGAAAAATAGCGTGTCTATATGAGGTCAGTAAGATAAAAAAAAAATTTAATTTATCAAGGATGCATTAAAGGGTTAGTTCACCCAAAAATGAAAATTCTGTCATTAATTACTCACCCTCGTGTTGTTCCAAACCCGCAAGACCTTCGTTCATCAAAAATCTACGTTCAACAACAACAACAAAAAATAACAATAACAAAATAACTACTTTGTTCCACATTTTCGTCTCTACAGCGTCACTTGTGGAATAAAGTAAATTTTATATTATAAAATAGAATAAAGTTATTTTTGTTTTCTTTGCGCAAAAAAGTATTCTCGTAGCTTCGTAACTTTACAGTTGAACCACTGATGTCACACGGACTACTCTGTCGATCATCTTGGTACTTTTCTGGACCTTGAACGTGGTAGTTACCTTGCTGTCTATGGGAGGGTCAGAGAGCCCTCAGATTTCATCAAAAATATCTTAAATTGTGTTCCGAAGATGAACGAAGGTCTTACGGGTTTGGAACAACACGAGGGTGAGTAATTAAAGACAGAATTTTCATTTTTGGACGAACTAACCCTTTAAATTGATCAAAAGTGACAGTAAAGACATTTATAAAGCATTAAGATTTCTATTTCAAATAAATTC